GAGTGGGTCGAACTTTCGGCCCGGCGCAGTAGTATGGTATAGTATACTCTTGGCGATTTTAAGCAAAACCTCTTCCGCTGGTGGCGCCAGGAAATATCCTGGCGGTGGCATGCGTAACGAGCCTGGTGCCTTTGCTTGCAGAGATGCAGTTGATCTCAATTGCTCATCCTAAAATAACCCGGGTCTTGGGTTTGCACAGGGATGTCTGGGTTACGCTAGGGATCCAACTAGCCTAAAAAACTCGGGTCTTGGAAGACGGTCTTGGGTTTGCACAGGATGTCATGGTTACCCTAGGGATCCAACTAGCCCAATGTCGGTAATGTTTACCGACGTGAGGGTCCGGTCCAATATTATGGAATTTTTTGTAGACTTGGATCCCTAGAATTACCCTGCACCCTACACCCAACACGCTAACTGATGGTGGTTTCCATTTTCTTTTCCATTGTCCCAATATTTTCCCTTCATACTAAACCCTTCACCCTAAACCCTAGGTTAACCTCGGCCTGATTGGCCGCCATCCAGCCCACCGCTTGCAGTCAAGCCACAAGCCGCAGAAGAGTTATCAAAACTGTTCCCGTCTGCCAAGGGCTGCTTTCCAGTGCTATAGCATGCAGTAGTATGTTTACATTGTGAGTTACGGAAGGGTGTGGATCCTGTATTTATCGCACGCTTCAAGCACTTGTGGCCTATAAGCCTCAGGAACGCTGACAGCCTAGGGCGTTGGGACCGGATACTTCAGTCACAATTTCCGATGGCAATGACGCACAGCGTGCCAAGCTTATCGGACCTCGTGCTGCATTGTTCAAGGATTCGTGTATCAGAATTCCAATAAACTGAGGACCGCTCAGCGGTGTCCCCATGTGGACGGCCATCCTCTACAAGAAGCAGGTGGGAGGTCGTTGCATACGACTCTGGCACTGACGTTCTGTAGGTTACCTCGCATTTCCTTTGCATGTGGCGGGACTGTTTGGGTTTTCGCTGTTGGGGGCTGAACTGCCTCTGGGCTTGCGCAGCTCAGAAGCTAACATTGCATTGCTTGCGCCTCAGATTCAGGTTGAATGCCTTCCTTTTTTCCGGTAGCAGTTTCGATAAATAGTTTGGACAGCGGAGACCTTCATTGATGGCGATGAGAACATATGTCTAGCAGGCAGGAGACTTAGGCCCAGATTGCAGGCTGTTCATGCTTTGTACTGAGCTCAGTCAAGTCGTGGTCACAATGAGTCACAGTACAATTTACAGACGATGATGAAAGCCTTTGTCATGCAAAGGCATCCAAGAGCTAGTGCTGCATGACAATTTCAAGACATTTTAAGGTAAGCACTTGAAGCGTGCGGTCGGCACAATGAAGGCTGACGGAAGATTTTCTCATTGCTTCTGGCTCCTGGCAACCTGCATCAAGCCTAGTGAACTTCTGAGAGGAAATCCTGGCTGAACGTCTTTGATGCCCCAGCCGCCGATGCCTATGAAAGACGTGGGGGGAGGGTGTGGGGTGGGGTGCGAGCGCAGGTTCCACGCCGGATCACCTATTCGGAGGTCATGGAGCTGCGTGCTTGGGACACATCTAAGCCATCTTTTGTCCTGCTTGATTCCAGAAGTGTGTCAGGGAAGAGCACACATGTGTACCCCGCCGGGACAGCTATCGCCGCATTTGATTTCAAATGTTGGTGTCTTTGTCCTCTTTCCTGTACCCTTGCAGATGGCTTTGTCCAGGCCTATCTTGATAGATTCGGAGAAGCTGACACAACTCTGCAGAAAGTTGGGGGTCGGGGAGATGGACCAGCAGGTGAAAAGATCTTGGCCCCATTCCTCGCAACAGCCGATTTCTGTAAAACAATGAAGTTAGTCCTCCCCAAATGGGATGAACTGGACTTCTCAAATTTAGATCCTGCCAGTCCTGAGGAGTGGGAAGGTCCATAAAGGACTTCAAAAAGATCTGGTTCACCGAGACTTGGACTGCTCCTGGCTAGGATTTGCCGTGTCGCAAAAATTGAGTAAATGGTGAGGACCCAGGTTTGCAACATTGTGCAAGATGCGTGAAGAAACGGCATTTGGGGGTTTCCTTGCAGCGGATTGAGACGGCGGCTTGCTGGGCGCAAAGGAGAACAACACGTTGATATCGGACGGTAACTGGACGCCCAACTTCCCGAACGACACAGAGTTCATCCCAGACTTTGGCTACAAGTACGTACGGCCTTGCAGTGCCCTGGTCGGGTTACCGTGATCTTGTCAAATCTCAGTTGTTCTACCCCCACTCAAGGTGGCATTAGGCCAGGATGTGTGTAACTGGCACCTGGAGAGTCCAGGCAAACTTCTTAGCTGACACAAACATAGACAGAGCATGGAGGCGCGAAGCAATGCACATAGCTCAGTTTTCCCGTATGTAGTTAGTGGTGCATCTTTCATGCATTCAAGCGCTTGTTTGAGTAGAGCTTCAGAGACAGCGCTTGTGAGCTTAGTTTTGTGGACCCTTCTGCTGAAGCAGCGGGTTTCTGTCCAAGGCACGCCTTACTGCTACTTCGACCTCTACCTGGATCCTTCCGAGCAAACGAATCTTCCCTTGAACCCAGTGCAAGAGGAGGCATGATGAAGCTGTCGCATGGCACCTGTAGATGTGTCATGTCGTCTGTGCAAGCTTGTAGAGACCCGGAGGCACCTTGAATTTTCTTGCCTTTTCGAAACAAGTTGTGCGTTCTGCTAGCTACTGCTGCACCTTCATCCTCACCAAAATAGCAGCTGTTGCTAAAAGTTGTGGAAGAACATTCATGATGTGCTTGTGGCATCCCCGTTGAAACTCCGGAAGTTTCGCACAAGCAAAGCAACGCTGGCAGCTGCTGAGAGGGGTGTGCAAGCTGATTGCAACTGTGCCTTCCAGGCGTTACGAAGGGAGGTGTTTGCTGACTGGAACCTCTTCGTGATCGACACCTCACGTGCCGGGGCGAGGAAACTTCAGCTGGTTCAGGGTGCGACTATGTGGTGCTCAGCAGTTAAAACATGTTCAAGGATCAAGTGTTGGATGCTTTAATAGGTTCATCCAAGACATATGAACAATAACCTCGAACAACTTCGACTCAGCAGCAGCAGTGATGAACCTCACCACCCAGCTTGTTTTGCATAGCAGCATTGGAGACGTTGGAACGACTGTCAGGTATCACAAGCTTGAGCCTCGAAACTGGATGCTTGGACGCTCTTGGTGGATCGTTTTGCGACATCCCTGTTGGCCTTTCAAAATGCACCCCCCCCCCTCCCCCCTTGCCACACACTTGACTCTGCATGGTAGGCTTGGAAACAGCCAAGGAAAACCAGTTGAAGTCTCGCTGTGGAGCCTTAGCTTCTATGCCATGCTTGGAAGCATTGCCCTGCCAGTTACGTTGAGGTTTGTAGTCTGTTTCAAGAGATCCGGTCGAGATGTCCTGTATTCATTCCAGTTTTTGTCCATGGGTCTGGCTGTTGGCTTTTGAACGGTACCTTCGCTTCTTTAGGGTTCAGGAGCCGCACAACCCTCAAGCTTTCAGCCCTTGCAGCCCTGAGCTTTTGGCTCCAACATTGGGTCAGGGGTACTCTGTATAATCCCAATATAGTCCCTTTATGGTCCCTATATAACTTCTATCTACTCCCTGTATAGCCAGTCTGCAGCCTCAAAGGACAACCATGGGTGCTTCAGGGCCCTTTCTGAGTGCAGCGGCCCAGCCGGTCATCCCCCCAGTCGCCGAGTGCTGGTGCTACTTGGGCCAAGACTAAGGGTTTAGGGTTTAGGGTTTAGGCCAGGATATGCGAAGTTGGTATATAGGTGTAATATTGGGATAATGGAAAAGAAAATGGAAACTATTATAGACTGTAGTATAATGGGGTATATATGGGGATCATATTTGGATAATGGAAAATAGAATGGAAACTAAAATGGGGTTGTATCAGGGTCATATTGGGGTTATATAGAGGTAAATGGTAGGTTCCCAAAATAGGGGAACCCAAAATAGATCCCAAATAGACCTCATGATAGGGAACCCCTGAAAATGGTACCCCTATTTTGGACAATCCCTAGATAGTCTTCGCATGGTGGGCATCCTCTTAGAGGTCCAGAACAGTGAAATTCAAATGGAGCAGACCATGGAAGATGAAATGGAAGCCCTGGGTCCCCTTGTAGGGGTATGTAGGGTAGAATTATAGATTATAGGGTTCTGGATGTTCCACAAGTAACGGAGAATCAAATGGAAAAGAACAGGGAACATGAAATGGAAACTGGATTTACATGGGGAAATCCCCCACATTTTCGGGTACAGCCGTACCTTTTACGGCACCAGGCAATGGATGCGACGATATTCGCCAAGTCTGGGGGTGTTGAATGATCACAAGGCCCTTCAGCGATGCTCATGAGATTTTGTGCCTTTAGGGGCAACTGGTGAAATCCTTTTTGGAGGGGGGAGGGGGCATGATAACCCAGAAGTAGGTTCCGAGTTGCATTTCCGTCTAGTGTTCGAAGCCAGAGGGGCCACCATTTTTGAGCTACCTCGTCAAACCATGGTCATCCACACCAAAAACTACTTCCCACTGTGGCCTAGACAGTAGTATGAGTCCAATGTACAATCTCAAGGAGTGTGTGCAGCTGCGGTGCATTCAGAATTCCCACCACCTTCACCAAGCACTCGTTGGCTGAGGTACTTGGATCCAACCTGGTCTGGCGGTAGAGGATGTCACGCACGTAGCCCGGCCCAATACAGCTTCAGGGCTTAAGAATTGGGTGTCCCAGAGCCTACATTTTTTCCAGAACTCAAGTCAGCAATGGCTTTATTCTGGCCCGCCGAGTGCAAGAGACGTCAGTGCTTATCCTGAAAACCAGGCAAGAGGCACATGGGATAAATCTTTGTTTTGCGTGATGTGGTTTCCAGGAGCCCAGTCCTTGCAGTTTGGTTTCCTTTTCATCAAGACTAAAGGGCATGCCTGACCCCTGCTAAGCTGTTGCAGCTCGCCCAGCTCTATGTTGCAAATTATGAGAAATGAAATGCAACGGTCTCAGGGCAGGGGTTTACGCGTGTGAGATGTCATTCATTGTCATGCTAGCTTCGACGCATGGGGAGGTGCTCCCTGACATTCCTTGAGCTGGTCAGGACCTGCGGTTAGGATCCAGCCTGGTTGTGAAACACGTGCCCGAGGGACGAGTCATGCGTCTTCCAAAGCCCTGCCGCTCCCATTGCTTATATTGATCCGTGTAGAGCGAGGCAGGATGGAAACACAATCTCCAATGATGGAAGATATCCGTTTGTAGTAGTAGTGGTAGCAGGGGAAGCAATACTCGCAGCGCCTTCTCCAAAAACTTCCCTCAAGATCTCCAAGATGAGATCGTGACTATCCGAGATAATGTGGGTCCGCATGATCTCGGGATTGGCACAGATCACGCAATGCATCAACAGAGCTTCACGGACTACGGGGCTCAGCCACAAGCACAGCCTACAGTGCGGCGGTCCGCTTTACAAGACTTCAGCTACGTCTGCCATAGTCTTAGAGTAGGGGTCGCTACAACTTGTCCAAGGATAGCAGCGAAGCATTTTCTTTGTTTACCTGGTGTAAAGTTAATCTTATAATGATATCTCTGTCTGACTCTGCTCAGGTCATTTTCAACTTGTACCTCGGTGCCAGGCCAGCCAACATGATCTCGGGCCCCAAACCCAACTCTTGAGCAAGGGGTCGCGAAATAAGCAGTGTCTGTCGCGCAGAGAGCCATGCTGACATGTGCGTTTTTCAAAGTTTCTTCATGGGAGGGTTGGTTCCGAATCCAAGGGTCTTCTGGTGTACGCGCCAGGAGCTTCTGCGTCCAGACTTGGTTTAGACAGCATCGTTGTGAGCCCAAAAGCGTGTGCCCTTCTAATGAAGCCCACATCAAGCGTTCACATCAAGCGTTGACGAGCGCATCCACAAGCAGTGAACATGTGGGCTTGTCAAACCTACAGGCAGCGAGTAGACAAAAAGCTTAGCGCTGGCAAATATTTCCCTGTGCAGAGCTTCAGGCCTCTCCTTCACAACCACTTCGCATGAGGTCAGAGCATTGAGCCACAATGTACTACAACGCACCACAACACTTCAGTTGTTGAACTTGCCATAGTCCGATTTCTTTTTGCTTGCTGTCGGCAAGCTCATACAATGCGGAGGATCCTGCTATAGGAGATTCCTATTATGATTATTCTATTATTCATTACTGCTATGTTATGACAGTTATGACTAGTATTACTATCATTATTTCATGCAGCTGCCAGCGTTCAGGTGTGTGGACAGTGTAGCTGCCGCGGGCTCCAAAGGGGCGCTAGCCTGTCGCTCGTCCGCCCTTGCTTCCTTTGAGCGAGTTCGCACCAAAATCCACGTTCCTGGGTAGGCCCCTGGGATATTTAATATTTTCCTTAATGGCTTTAATAAGGGACCCTATATACTGATATGTTTCAAAGGGTTTTGGGGGCCAACCCATGTTCATCATCATAGCTTCGGTAGGACTCCTGGCTTCAAAGGATGTCGGGTGATGCAGCCTAAAGTTCAGCGCAGAGCTGCTGCAGGTGGTAGGTGGTGGTAATTGTTTCAAGTGTGTCAAGTATGGGGTATATGGGGATCATATTAAAACATCCAAATATATTCCCTAGTATACTAGGGTAGTTTCCATTTTCTTTTTTAAGTCTGTCAAGTATGAGCCATGAAGCAGCAAGGAGCTTGTCCTGCAGACCCGAAAAGCTTTCTTTTGTGGATGTTCCAAGTATGGGGGGGCCTTGGTACACATGGCTACCAACCTCAATAAACCTTAAACCCTAAACCCCTAGGCCCTAAACCTGTAAACCCCTAACCCCAGACCCTAAACCCTAAGCCCTAAAGCCATCAAAGCTCAACCTTCAGACAAGGCAAGCCGCCGCTGCGCCTCACGCAGGCTGAGCTTGCACTGGGCTTGCACCGCAGTTTGCAGCGCTGATGCTTGTGCCTGTTCAAAAAGACCAGCTACACATGGTTGCCTGGGTTGCTGTTAAGGAACTTAAGTTAAGTTTCTATATTGGGCAAACCCGATTATTTACTATATATACCCATTATGGTAACTTTATTTAAGTTCCTTAACAGCAACCCAGTTGCAGGTCAGTGCAGGTCAGTAATCCAGTCAGTCACAGCTCAGCGGATGCTTGAATGACATGTTGTTTTTGTTGGTTCAGGCGCCCATCCCGTTCGACTTCTCACGGGCCATGTGGAAGAAGATCGGCTTTGAGACGCAGGAAGCCATGGGAGGGCGGGCACTTCATTCAGCAAGCAGGGTGCTCTCTTTACGGTCTTGTGGGCATTTCGGCCCCCTCCTGCTCGGCATGTGCAAGTTAAGAACAGAACAACAGACAGATAGAGAGACAGAGACAGAAGCAGGCGAGACAGAGAGGGAGAATGATGATTGTTGAGCTCCTACAAGACACTACTAATAGTAAACATCGTAGGTCTAATGATACTAATAATCATACCAATAATAATGCCTTTCAATAATGAGCGCGCTTGATTCAACGTGAAACACGCCGGAAAAAGACCTTGGCAAACAAAGGCTCCTGAGGCTTTCTCCGATGCCATCTCTAAGAGGGTTGCAGCCACATGAGACATAGTCTAAACTCCTTAAAGGGTGGTTATGAAAGGGGTTTTGTGGGGTTTAGGGTTTAGGGTTTAGGACCTAAACTCCTTCAAGGGGGTTATGCGGGGATTATATAGGGGACTATTTTAGGGATTATTAAGGGGGGTACTAGGAGTTTAGACTACGGCTCACGTATCCTGCAAAGCGCCCCAGGCTCGCTAAAATGAAGATGTATCAGAGCTTGCCCCCGCTTGGTTCCAAGAGCCATCAAGCTCTGAACGTGGAGCTGCTTTGACAGCAGTCCATCCAGAAACCAAAACTATCTTCCCAAGAGCAACGAAGGAACGACACTCCTGATCTCTGTTCACGATTCGCCGCTTTGCGGCTCTATAACTTGGCTGGCTTTGCAGGAAATCAAAACCTTGCCCGAAAGACGTGAGTGCCCAATTTGCAGCGCTTATCCAGATTTGCCCCTAACCTTTTTGCACGTATTGGCCTTTTGCAAAAAGCGGCTTGCCACGCAAGAGGTTGTTTTTTGCAAGAAGCCGCTTCTCAACGAAAAGGGGCTACTTGCAAAGGGTCACTTTTCGCAAAATGGTGGCTTCTCACGCCGTTTTTCCCGCAACGTTGAAAGACACCCCGTGCGCCAGCCCACCATAGAACGAGGTCAAAGCATGTGCTTGGTGCAAAAGGCACTTCCTCAGAATGATGCGTTACTACGCAGCTGGATGTGCTACCTAGCTAAGCCCCCTTCCTTGATCTTCTCCATCCTCGCCTCTTCCAGAAGTAGACAGTGCGGATCACATAGGTGTGTGCAGGGAACGCTGGGTGAAGATGAAACCGAAGACACACCCTTTGATAGGCGTCCTGTCACCTACTCGTGTTGACCGGCATTGAGCGTATCCATGCGTACTATGGGTCTTTGCTCAGCTTTAGTGCGCTTTGTTACCACAAGCCGTGACATCACCAGTAGCAGCATGGTTCTCTCAACATCTGAAGCCTCCTGTACATATCATGATGTCAAAAGTCCTTTGAAATCTGCGGGAACATCAACAGGACTACGACAGCATTCTCCTTGCGGAGTGGAACTTGGGGATAGCACATGGCATTTTTCTGTTTTCCTGTGTAGGGTTCCTGGATGGACGCCAACAAGGATAAGCTAGTTCGGTTGGCTCTGCAGTGCATTGACGCATGCGCGTGGGAGCTTCCTGAGTTGCAACGCTTGTGTAGAAGCTTTTAGTACTGGATCTTGTAAATTGAAAGCGCCGTTGGCCTTAAAACCCAGTCGCCCAGGAAGCTGGGCGTTTTCACGCTCCCATTTCCCCTCTTTACCTTGGACTGGAACCTCGCCGTGATCGCAGGCGAAGGGTGGCTCAACCTGATAGGAAGAACAACCTCTTAGGTACATATGTCTTACTTACTATGGGTCAGGCTTCGTTCTCTTGCGGTGAGAAATGCAAGTGAAGGAATCCCTGCACTTTGGTGATATCTAGTCTGAAGCCTCGCTCCCAGTCGTCAGTTGGAGGTAGGAGTTAAATTTGACTGATCCGCCTTAATTATTCAGATTGGTCGGTGGGATTTGGTCACTTGCACTACCTACCTTGGACTTACAAGCACCCCGCCAATCTACACAGCATCTTACCTCCTCAAGTGCCAACCCCAACGGGAGTGACCGGTAGTGCCTGGAACGTCCTAACACTTATGTCTGCGGATGGGTGCGCAATCTTAACCCTACTTGCTGATACCATGCTCCTGCCGTAATTGTTAGGTAGTGCCCCACAAGCGAGATGTGAGGGTGGGGACAAACGAAACACATGAATCATGCTCATTTTGGGTTGCAGCCTTACTACGGCCGCCATTCTTCCAAATGTAAGCAGCCAATAATCTACCATCTACCACTACCAGCTACTGCTCTTGGTATCTTTGTTGTGAGCTCGCGGAATCTTATTTCACTTGATTTTGGAGGTTTGAGGGCCATGAACTCCCGCAACGGCTTTGCGTTCGCAAACTGGCCCAACATTGGCAAGTACCCCTTCAACCTGGGCTACACGGATCATTGCAGCTTGGGGCATCATATTCTTTCCCTTTTTTGACCTATTTTCTGACAGTCTTTCGTCCCGACACTAAGGTCCCAACTTTGACATCTTCACGGCACCCACTCCATATACGCAGGCGGGATATTGCGCTTTGCCATACCATGCTCCGAGTATGGCATGCTTTGATATCCAGAGCGGCCCAGCCCCATGTTACATTCATGAAGCCCACCATGATGCGTCGATGCAGTCTACAACAGCGGTCTGCAGTCGGCTTTTGGTGCACCGGCCACTGCTAGATTCCGAACTGGACTGCTACTTTTCTTGCTATGTCTTTATGGTGGGTCTATGGTGGGTCTGACTTGACCTGCCCAGATAAAAGCTCAATTCTCTGGATTTGGACCCAGAAACAGGTTCGCAAACCATGCGACAGTTCAGCTCTTTGCATCATGCAATGGACTAAGGGACGCAAGAAATCCCTAGAAGTGACCTTGACTCCTTGATGCTGAGTAGAAATTTCATCTTGGCAAAAGGACCGCAAACATATCCTCATTATCCTCGCAGGCTGCAGAATCGTTCCCTCAGGCCTTCATGTACTCCAAGCACCACTCCAATAGCTGTTAGGGAAACCAACTGTGCAAGGATGGTTCGTGTTCTCTGCGCGCAGACCCCTCTTCCAACCAATGCCTTTCCAGTACTTCTTCTTCCTCACGTGTAAGCCACCTACCTTGCCATAGCTCAGCGATACCTTGGAGGTCACGGACTGGCTCCTTTCCGCCGGTATCTTCAACAATCCCACCGGAGGAGCCATCTCCAGCTCGGGGATGCTTGTCTTGGCCAGGAGCAGTTTATTTGTTTTAGGGTGTGGTTGGTTTGGTTTGCGGGGTGACGGTGCGGCTGCGCACTGATTACGTAGAGGCAGGCAAGGCTCTGAAAGTGATTGTTCTTTGCAAATCCACTTGCGGAACTCAAATACGGCACAATTGGTTGGTTCTTTGGTTTGAAGCCTCATGTAGCAAGCTTCCGCGTTCTCCGAGACAGCCAAGGAACGTGACTGCATGCTTTCCTATCAACTCGTCGCGGCTCCGTAGTTGCATTCATCGCGCTGCCCATGGGTCAGCGGTTTCTTTCCTGCTCCATGCCAGAGCGCGCTGTGCAGATTCCATGTTTTGCCTATATTTGCGGAGAGCGTTGATAATACAACTCGGCAAGCAACAAGTCCCATTCGAATGATTGGAGACTCGCAAGCCGTTCATGAATTACTTGGTGTTTCCACTGACAAGGGCATGAGAGGATCACAGCATGGGATGTCCCTCACGATTCCTAGCTGTGAAGCATGGGAAGTGCTCTCGATTGTATACAGCAACTTGAGGGTATCTTCAGATCAAGGGTCCTGTTCCTGTTTTTTGTGGAGTTCTGCAAGATCCCTGGAGCCCAATGCCAGCCTTGCTTTGCATTTCTCTGCAGGGCTGTCTGTCCAAGCTTGGACAACAATCCCCCCACCGTGGACGGCTTCAACGTCCCCACGTACTCGCTCGAAGAATGCAGACAGCGCCACGCCTGCATTTCACGCAAAGGCTATCCATCCAACACCCAGGTCAACCAAGACCGCGCTTTCTTTACATTTTTTGTTCGAAGCAGGTAGCAATCTTAATCGCTGCAAGCCAAGATACTGCGTGCTGTGGGATCCTCTGGTCGATTGAATTGGCCTCTCTCCTAGCTCCTGAGGATTCTTCAAAAAGGCAGAGCATTTCTTTGGTTGCGTAGCGGCGTAGTGCGCGTGTTGCCATTGTTTCTTGCATCTCACCGCCCGGCCAAAGAATCGGTATGGGGTTGCCTGATGCATGGGCACAGCGAGGCCATTGTCACAAGGATAGTGGCCCCAAACGATGCATGTTTGGCCAATGGTGCCATGTCCGGAGATCCCGCAAAAACTGAAGAGAAGCTGACTTGATGGTTCTGAAACAGAGATTTCGCTTATGGTGTTCAATTGCCAGCAGCTGCTTCTTCTCAAACTTTAAGACTGATCGGCCATGCCACTGTTCCAGTTCTACCAAGGCCCTTAGGTACAGAAGTACATCCTTCACCAGGCTCTTTCAATTTCAAAAGCACTCCTTGTGTCCCAACACATGTCAGCAGAGCAGATGCTTGATTTCGCGTCGGCCATGGGTTTCCAGCACTAGGCGCGACTTGCCCGGGACGCATGTTGCTATGCCAGGAAAGTGCAAGTTTTTTGCTTCCAAGAGTGCTGCCAACAATTTACTAGTAGTACTATGATTACTACTATTACGATGATTACTACTATGCTATTATGATTAGTTTTCCTCCAATTGTTATTATTCGTAGTATCATTACTATTCTTACTATGTGTCTTATTCTTACTATTGTTACTATTGCTGTTGAGGCGGATGCCCATGGAGCCGACATGTCTGACCTGGAAGCAGCTTTGGGTGCTTTGGGCCTGGAGCCTTTCCTGCCGAAACTGCATGAACTGGGTGTCCACCATCTCTGCCAGGACAGAAGAGCTATAGTTTTCAACCCCTTAAGGGGGTTGTTTACCTAGGGGATTATATAAGGGAGTTTTTCCGGGGTTTATAAAGGGGGATACTAGGAGTTAAGACTGTAATCTGAAGGTCCCCATTCAAAAGTGCCCCCTCCTGGCCCTCGACAGGTTGGGGACCTGCTGACGGCGGACCTGGCAGAGGCTGGCCTAAGCCGAGTGCAGACCCGCCAGCTGCAGCGCGCAGCAGCGGAGAGAAGCGCAGGAAGCAGCAACTCAACAATAATAGCAAGAATGGGAATATTAATAGTCATAGTAACAATAATAGTGGCAGTAGCTCTTAAATCGTCAGTTCCTTGCTCCATGCTGCGTTGCTACATGTTGCTAGCTGCTAATCCATCTCAGGTCCACCAAAAAGTGCCTGCCAGTCTCAGCGTCTGTCTCTTCAGTCGGACGGAGCATTGGAGCGATCAGCCATCGTCTGGGACGCACCGGCCATGCACCATCAGCGCCAGATGGAGCCGGAAATTGAGCGCGAAGAATCCGAGAAGTCCGAGAGCCCCAGGAGCCCGGAGGTCCAGGCATTCTTCCGCTTGGACGTCGGCTTCGATGATTCACCATTGCAGCAATCATTGCCCGAAGCATTGCGAAAGCGGCTGGACACGCGCAAGCTCAGGAGCCAAAAGCTGGAGGCTCTGGGAGCTCAGGGCACAGCATGCGCAGCGACTCAGCTGGCGCAGCCGGCGACACAAAGATCTGAGCGAAGTGAGAGATTCGAACTGCAACTCGGGAGGACACGACCCGGGGAGGAGCCTGATGCTATTCCGAGCTCTGCGCGAAGCGCCTACAAAAGTCCCAAAAGGCGGAGTGCGCCCTGCCAAGACAAACATCTGCCTTTGCTGCTTTTTTTTCGAAGGGCAGAAACATAACCGACAATTCAATGTGATTACTCCAAGCATTCACGTTGAAAGCGCACCCGCATGAAGGTCAATGAAGCTGCTTCCGCACGAGGTTACACTGAAGCTCATGCGAAGGAGGTGTCGACACCGAGGCCCAGAGAAACTAGCCGCTCACGGATGTTTACAGTATGAAGCAAGCATGGTCACCCAGAAGTTCGAATGTGTGTAACCTTCTTAGCTGCGACGTCCCGCGGATTACCTGTAGAGATCGATGCGTGCTTTCCTTATTGAGTTCCCGCAGTTTCTTGATCTCTGCAGGTGCTGCCTTCAGGAGCTTATGAGCTATAGACTAAACTCCTAGTATCCCCCGTAATAGGCCCTATAATGATTAGTACCCTATACAATCCCCTATGAAACCTTTAGGGACTTTGTAGCAATGGAAGACCTCGGACCTAGTCCAGCCAGTCGCTGTGTGCGAAGGGCCGGACGTCAAATGTTCGACAAGAACACGCTGCGGAGGATGCAGCGGGAGGTCTTCATGTTGGCCCTCCAGACATTTCAGCAACTTGGCATCATGGCTCCTGGTGTTGGGAAGTAAATAGCCTCCCAAATCAGCCTGCACGCAAGTTAACCAACACATTTTTTTGAGTTCATGGGGCATCTGCTTTATGAGAGGAAGACTCTGGAAGTGGAGCCGCCAACTCCTCGACGTGCTTGCGGAGCACGTGTGCAGGCCCGGGACACCTTCCATACGGTCAGGGTTTAGGGTTTAGGAATCGGATGGAATTGGGTTGTTTCCCAAAAATAGGGGTATCTTTAAAGGGGATATATAGGGATTAGGGTTTACCAAAAGTAGGGGTACCTGTTTGGGGTCCCCAAAAAAGGATTACAGTATTTGGGGTCCATATGGGGTCCCTCTATTTAGGGAAACTACCACATTACAAATTCCGTCCAGGCAAGTTTCCATTGCTATGACTGTAGCGAAAAACAGTAGCCTTGCTGGTTTCCTTTGCAATGGGGTTCTACAAGGGTAATATTGGGATAATGCAAAAGACAGTGGAAATTACTATAATGGGTTATATAGGGTCTATATTGGGGTTATATAGGCATAACGTAAGGTTCACGCTTGCCAAGTTTTAGATCCCGATAGTTCTGAAGGTTTCTGCCCCTCCCAGGCGGCTTGAGCGTTTAGAGTTTAATATGGCCCCGATATAACCCGAATAGAACCCCAACAGAACCCCAATATGATTCCAATATACTCCCCATATCATCTGTTGATGTCTTGCAGATCTACGACTTCGTAGCGCACGTATGCTGGTTCTCTTTCTGCCAGACATGTCGTTCTGTCGGTCTAGCCGGCTAACTGCAACCATTGCTGGTCTCAGTATCACATTGCGTTCCATTTGCAGCGCAACAACAAAGTTGGTGCCCAGATCTGGGGTAATTGAAGAGTAACATTAGTTGCCTCCTCAGCTCTCTAGTCCTCAAGGCTCCCACATTTGATAGGATGACCATGTCACAGAGAAAATGGCTGTGAGGTTTTTGTCCGCATCCGACCCATCTTCAAGAGCGACCTGGAGCATCTCGCCCCAGTTTGCGGCTGTTGGTATTTGGCATTGTGTTCTTGTGGGATACTACAGCACAGGCGCGACCTGTGCCAAGGGACCGAGATTCACATGGGGCTCATGGATTGAAGTAGTTGAAGTTCGGGTGGGCTTGCAGCAGAAGTGACAGCTGTCATGCTTGTAAGTCTAGTAGGTAGTAGTACTGGTTGTCGTGTCGTCGTGGTCGTCGCGGTCATCATGGTGGTGGTAGTGATGGTGATGGTGGCGGCAGGGGCGGCGGGGGGGGGGCCGGGGCGGGGGCGGGGGCGGGGGTGGCAGCAATGGCGGCAATTGCGGCAAATGCAGCAGTGGTAGTGGCGGTGCTAGTGGCAATGGTGGTCGCAATGCTCCGGGGATCGGGTCTCCTCGAGTAGTCGGCTGAGTGCTTGATAAGGTCAGGAAGTCATCGATTAATCAACTGTGGAAGCTGTGGGAGAGCAGGGGGTGGCAGCTGCTATCAGTGGGCAGCCATCGGCAGCCAATTCTCGTGCTGCTTTTGGGGGGCAGAGGGTCTGTGGCGGAATCAGCATCATCGTGGTTCTTGTATGGCTCAGTTTGTGACGTTGCTGGGCAATTTGGAAGTGTTGGCACGTCCTGACAGTCCAACGTGCCGGATGTCATCCCTTCTGAGGAAAGATGACTTCGCCCCCTGTTCGCACTGGTTCCAGATTCATGGCACTACCCCCCTTCGCTCCTCTGATAGACGATATTGTTGCTGTAATCTTAGCTGCAAGTGCTACTTGCATCTGAGGATGTGGTGTCGATTCCTGGGAGGGGCCAGGTCATGCTGCATAGCTGCCTTTTCGAGGCAGATTTGAAGATCCTCAGCAGCACAGAATGAGTTCCAATGCCAGGCCCTGAAGGCTTCATTTTCCCAAACCACGACTACAAGTTTGCAGACTTCTTTCAGCCTTGCTTGCTGACAGATGTGTGTTAACAGAATGTCTGTCATGCGTGCAATGTCAATCCAAGGTCACCCTTCATCATGCATCATACTTTCCACTTTGACCAAGTCTTCGGAATCTTCGCAGAACTTGGTCGAAGCGATCATGCAGCGAACTGTCTCTGCGCAGAAGCACTGAGCTGTCCACTGGGATTACTTAAACATCCTAAAACATGTACATATGAGCATGTATATATACCATATATATATATTAAATACATGTCTGTCCATTCCTGGCAAGCCCAGACCCAATGCATGACACGAAAAACTCGGATAGTTTGACGGCAAGGATATAGGGATTGAGCTCGTTGACGAAAAATTGAACATTTTCTGAATCAGCTCTGGAAAACGGGTCTCTCATTTCTTTCCTTGACCTGAAGCCAAGTAGAGCAGAGGACAGGCCGTCACCAATCAGACCGTGTACAGGGACGTGCCTCAGCTCCATTCAAGTGAAGACCTTTCTGGGGAAAGTTTACCGCGCAGGTGCGAAGCAGGATCTTAAGAAAGAATGCCCGGGTTCACCACAACCTTTGCTTGATGTGGAGTTGCTGATACGCTAGCAGCTTTATGGGGCAAGCTCACCGGGGCAAGCTTCGCGTTTGCACGACGCTGAACGGAGGCTGCTGCTGAGATTATCCAAAGCTCGTGCTCGGGCGGCGTTGGTCTCCTTTTCATGTTCGGTCAGACTGGAAGCGGCAAGACCCACACCATGACACTTGGCCTGAGTTCATGCAGTTTCTTGCGGTTGTGATCGGAGTGCAAGAATCTAAGAAATCTTTTGTTCAAGCAGATCTACAGCTGTCCGTTGCTGTGACCTATTGGCTTCAATGGCTCAATCGTAATGATCCGTAGTGCAGCCATGCATCGCTCACGATCGAACTTTTGCCAGACTTCTATCAGGCTCCTTGTTCAATCTGCCACAGCTGTGAATTCGGCCCAAGAGGGACCTTTTCGTTCTTGGTACTACCAACCTCCGGAAGAGAGTGCTGCAGGACAGCAAATCTGTAACGGTAGCATGGATCTTCTGCTAAGAACGCCGATGTCGGCGACCGCCTCTCGTAGCCCTCGCTGCAGCATGCTCTGACTTCAACGAAAGAAAGAGCAGACCTGTGAAGACAGCATTGCTCAGGTGCGCCATAGAACAGATGGCAAGCGAGGATATCTTCGCAAGCCTTGACGAAGATTCCGAGCCGGCGGTTAGCATACAGTTCCTGGAGCTTCGCGGGGACAAGTGCTACGACCTACTTGCAAACTCTTTGGGCATCGTGGCTGAATGGCTCATAGCATAGAAGTATGCGGACATCATGTTGAATGTACTCGGGTAGTCTACTCTATGTGGAAATGCACGAGACCCATACGTATGTAAGATGCCTTTTTGAAAAGCACGATATCATCCTTCAATTTCGGCATTCGTGCGGGTTGTAGGCTGGTTCGGGGGAGCAAGGGTGGGACAAAGGCAGAAGAACTGATAAAAGCATATGAGCCATATTCCAAACTCCTTAAAGGGGGTTGAACAGGGAATCATATAGGGGAGTATTATTAGGGTTATTAAAGGAATGCTAGGAGTTTAGAGTACAGTATAGCTCATATACGTTGGAAACGGTGGAGCGGTGGGAGGTGCGAAAAAGTAAACGGACGGGTGGCCAAAACGCAATTATATAGGCATTATATAGTCGAGGCAATGAAAGAGTGCATTAACAGTAGAAGAGGGGCAGCATAATCCAGAAAAAGACAGACTCACCAGTGTTTCCAGTGAGTTGTAAGCTGTGTTCTTCTGAGCTATAATTAGTCTAAACTCCTTACAAACGGTTATATCAGAGACTATATAGAGGAGTATTATGGGGGTGACTAAGAGGGATACGAGGAGTTAAGACTCTAAACCCTAAAGCCTAAGCCCTACATTATACGGTTAGTGAGGGCGATGCTAGACTCTGGCTCTTACGTTGTTCTGTGCCGAGGCAAGGATTTCCCGCAGCTGAAGCTACGGGAGCATGGCAATGGCACGTACCATGCCGAAGGCGCGTGAATTTCACTACTACTAGCACTACTGTTACTATTGCTACCATTTTGGTTTTTATATGTTTTCATTGCCATTACTATTCCTACTATTATTACCTTTCTCGGTACTACTAGTATGAGACCCGACTCTGCTTTCTCTTTGTAGACGCAGTTTCGCATACAAACAAATGTGGACAGCACAGGGTGCTACGACTGCCATGAGGCTGACACCAGGAATTGGTTGAGATCCTGCAAACGAATCAATCAAAGCGCATAGTGCCAGGAGCTATGGAGTTGTATCCACGCTGCCCCGAAGATATGCGCATCGTGTTGGACGCCCGCAAGCAAGCTTGCCTCAGTTTGCAGAACTGCCTGTGCCCAGAGCACAGGGAATCAGTTCCTTTGTGAAGCAACGAAGCCAAGGAGACAGCCCATGCTCGCAGGAGGACCTCCGCCACCGGGGTGCCTCGACCCTCCAGAAAGAGTTTCTGATGGCTGCGTTCCAATTTGTCGAGACTTCCTGGTGTACCTATTATGACAATCAAGAGTATCTTTATTTTGCCGTTATTACGAATATTTCCATGATTACCACTCTAGCAATTATTACCAGTATTACTGTTAGTCTCATTATTACTATTATTCGTTGGTGTTTGGGCAGCTGCACAAGGCCAATGCTGTTAGCTCCCGGAGCCACGCCGTCTGCCTCATCCGTGTGGCTGGCCTTTGGTTAGCGAGGAACAAACGAATGGATCCTTCTGGTAGCCCCTGCCTGTGTAACCATTATGGTAGTTACAGTTTGTTTTCCATTCCTTCATTCTCTAAACCCTACATCCCACTATAGTAGTTTCCATTTTCTTTTCCATTATTCCCAACAGCATTACGGTTGGGTTTCAGTCTCTGATAAGGATGGAAAGTTGGGCCGGGCTGGTTTTTGCCAAAATGGGCAATGAACCGGAAATAGACCGGAAATTTTCCGGAAATGGAC